GTTGGACATATGGGTTAATGGGTTAATGTTGGACTTGTGGGCTTGGGCAGCACTGGGTTGGGATGTTTTCTTGATGCACAGTTAACCTTTATATAAAACTCTCTCTTATACATGAGTTTCTGTGGATTTGTTTCTCTAAAGTACCCAGACTAACACAGTGTAGAAATCATCTGATGTGTAAACTTTCACCTGAAACCCAGTAAATAGTATTTGTAAAAAGCAGCAGCAGAGGAGAGGGAGGCCTAGCCTAGTAACTGTTGTACTAAGCCTGCCTGATACAGCTTTAAATTTTTTTTAAATTTGTGGGACATGAAGATCAAATATCCCTGTATGAACTTCTTATGTAATGGAGCCTGTGGCCTCAGTCCTCTGTGTAACCCTCTGTAAGGAGAGTCCTGTCAGGGGAGCTGCCTGCCGTATAGGCTGTCCTGTGGTGATTCGTCTTCCTTTCAGACCACTGTGTGCAGTGTGAAGAAGCGGCCTGACTTCTCTACTTCGGGCCAGTGGGAAGTGGTCACCGAGTGTGAAGGGAGAAAGGACATGAATGTCTTTGATGGAGTCATGGTTTGCACCGGCCATCACACCAATGTTAACCTTCCCCTGGAAAGCTTCCCTGGTGAGTAAGCAACCGTGAAGGAAAACCCCCATGCCATGCCTGTGAGCTGACCCCTGAGCAATGAGAGTATGAGGGTCTGAGGGACCCTAACCTCAGGATGAAGTCATGCTTAATTCTGCAGCTGTCCCTGTTGAGTAACTTAAATTACTGTTATTTGGGGGGAGAGGTAACAGTATTTCTGGAGATTTGTAGGGGGGGGGATTAGCTTATCTAAGAATTAAAAAATATAAAATCCAAACATGGAGTTCTTATGTTCTTATGTTGCATGGAGATTTTTCATTAGTCAAGGAAGCAAGTAGAAATGTTGAGCTGTTAAGGGAAATGTGAAAACTTAAAAAAAGAATGTAATTACAGTTTGGGAATTATATGTCAATAAAACTTTTTTAAAAGGAGGAAAAAGTAGTCTTTCCCCTGATTTTCATATTTTGAGGGAAATGATATGTGCATAAATATATACTCCTAATTGAAATGGGAGTATGTATTTAGAGGAATGAAATGTTCTGTGATAGTTTGGATTTGTGAGTCTATCAGGCCATAGAAGGAACAGAACTGGAGCAGATGAAGCAGACTATTTCTAGAAGGAAACCACCAGGTTCTGCTCAGTCTATGGAAAACAGAGTAGCCAGCAATGTTAGGGAGTAGCTGAGGGAAGGGAGAACATGGCGCGTCTGACTGCAGAGGGATGATTTGGCAAATAATGTCCCTCAGATAAACTGTCACCTAGAGATCACGTCCTTCCCTTGCAGGGATTGAGAAGTTCAAAGGACGGTACTTACACAGTCGAGACTACAAGAACCCGGTGGGCTTCACTGGAAAGAGAGTCATCATAATTGGCATTGGAAACTCTGGAGTGGATTTGGCTGTGGAGATCAGTCACACAGCTCAGCAGGTTTGAATTGAATTACTTATGGCCCCCAACCCTGGCTGGGAATCATCCTGGAAGCTGTAGGTTGAGCCAACAGGGAGTGTGGGTACCTGCATCTAACCAGCAGTGACAGTGGCAAATGGAGAAATGGGTTTTGGGACCTCGGTTTATAATAAAATGATGGATGCTAATGGAGCCAAAGTTAATTTCCATTTTTTGAGCTGGCCTCACACTAAAGAATCAGTTCCTGTCCCGTGTGCTCATTATCCCAACCAACCATCTTCTCAGCATATGTGTCTGGATCTGAGAGCGCTCACTGACGTAGCACTTAAGTGAAGGAGATGTAGTGGACATGCACAAGTGCCATATTCACAAGTGAGGGAAAATGCACAGTGGTCCTTGAACGTATTTCACTCCTAGGTTGAAGGCTATCTTTTCTTCTTCGTTCGTCAAACGGAAAAGATAGCCTACTCATTTCCAAAGACAACATGGGCATCAATATGAAAGGCATTCACACTGTAGCACACACAGGCAGCTCTCCCTGGTCTTTCCACTCAGTTAGTGTCCCGTACAGTCAGAATAGTGTTCACTCTTGAGCAATTTCTATCTCCTTGGTGGGGTTTTTTCCCCATCATGTGAGGGGACTTCAAAAACTTTTGTGGATTCCTCTAGTTCTTAAATGCTTCCTCCCCCACACTATCATGATCCCAATTCTACCTTATAAATCCGGCTAGACCAGAGGATGTACACTGGTATAGATAGGAACTGGAAACACAGGGAATCCAGGACAGGTGACCCCTTCAGGACCAGTGGTGAGAGTGGTGATGCCTGGAGGGTGGAGGGTAGGTGGGGTGGAAAGGAGGAACCGATTACAAGAATTTACATATAGCCTTCTCCCTGGGGGATGGACAGCAGAAAAGAGGGCGGGGGGAGATGTCGGACAGTGTAACATATGACAAAATAATAATAATTTATGAATTATGAAGGGTTCATGAGGGAGGGGGAAGTCATGAGGGAGGGGGGAAATGAGGAGCCGATATTAAGGGCTCAAGTAGAAGGCAAATGTTTTGAGAATGATGATGGCAACAAATGTACATATGTGCTTGACACAATGGATGTATGTATGGATTATAATAAGAATTGTACGAGCCCCCAATAGAATGATTTTTAAAAATTTTTGTGGAAAAATGGAACTAAAGATAATAGAATTTGTCCGCACAATTGTGAAGTCCTCTTGCTCCAACATATTTTGAATAGAAAGTATCTTCACTACAAAGTGCATGAAAAGGATAAGCCACTATTGTCTTTTGTTATTCATGTCTTGCTATTAATCTTCAGTATCTTTCATGAAACCGTGTTTCTCCACAAATACGCTTTAATTTGGTTAAAAGCAAAACCTAATGCTCCAACTTTGTTCAAGGGCTCACACCCAGGAACTCTATTCCAATAACACTTCTCAGTGCTATTCCCATCTGTCACCACAAAATCTACCTTCTACATCACTCCATGAAGTGGTTCAGTGGGCATATCAAGAAACAGGTATGTAAGTAAGAAAGAGCTAACACATGTGTGGGCACTATGACAGAAGTATGAGGATTCCTAGCCCCTACCAGGGGCGGTCACATGGTCAGTTAAAAGGGAGCTGGACTTTACCTGCACTGAGGAATCACAGATTGCCAAAAGAACCAAGCAGCTAGAATAGGTGGAGATAACTGTGCCAAGAAGGTTTAGGTCAACACAGTAAAACCACAGAGAAGTCCAGATTATGTCCCACCTCCCCCATACTCGATTGTACTTTTGAGAAGTTGTTTATAAATGATTTTTTTTAATTTAATGGACTAAACAAAAATTTAATGGACTTTAAATTCCAGTGTGTAAAGAAAGTGTGGGATATAAAAGCAATGCTATTGTGAAGAGAAAAATTCCTTTCTTGTTAAACAAGACTTCCTTACATTTCCTCTTAGAACTCCAATTTTAGAGCCATTCTGTTTGCTTAAAGTAAGGGTATATACAGGTGGAAACCTGGAATAAGGATTGTGATAGGCATTAGCACGTATTAAATATTTACTCTGCACCACTCTTTTCTCCCCCAAAATACTATTTAATACTCACAAATTCCTTGGGATATGTGTATCATTATCACTTTTAAAAAACAAACAAGGAACCTTTTCAATGAAGTTCTGAGCACTTTTATGACTCATCAGATTTATACAGTCAGCACACACAAAATTCAACTGATGCCTACAAGCATGCATGCTCTGTCAACTGTGACATGTAAAGGTGCTTACTTATGATAGTGCTCATACAATAAAATCAGTAGCACAGGTGTGACTCCTTTAGGTTTATCTCTTTGTAGACAGATTATCTTTCTCCAATAGAGCTTCCACAAAAGACCACGAAGTAATGTACTTATGTACCTTACAATTCTGGGAATCCTCTCCAGAGAGCTTTGTAATATTGGAAAATAATTCTTTTGCAAGGTAATATGGAATCGTTATCCACACTGAAGATGGGGCTTTGGTTAGCAAAGGACATAGAAAGCCCTACCTGTTCAGAAAGCCTGTTGTTCGGCTAACATCTGGATCTTCCTCCCCTGAGTACCAGTGAAACATCTCTAAGCAGAGGCTTTGGAGCCAGTCAGACTCGGTTAGAGCGTCAACTCTGAAGCTTGCTAGCCGTCTGCATCGTTCTTCATTCTCTCTATACATCTCATCTGTAAAATAGGGTTACTCAGACCTTTCCTGATCGGTTGTTGTGTTGATTAAATAACAATATAAATAAAGGGCCTAGCACAATGGCTTAAAATAAACAGAAACAATCATGTGCTGGGGAGACTAAAAGTTTTCTAGGATATACCTCCCACTGTTGAGAAAACACATTTGAAGAAGTAGAGAGTAAAAGCCTAACAAGTTTAATATCAATGTTGCTGTCATTAGTGCTGTCCGGTTGGTTCGGACTCATAGTGACCATATGTACAACAGGGTGAAGCACTGCCCTAGGCCACTCCACAGTGGGTCTGTTGGACCTCATGCTACAGCCTCTGTGTCAATCCATCTTTTGAGGGTCTTCCTCTGTCTCGCTGACCCTCTATTTTACCAAGCATGATGTCCTTCTCCAGGACCTGGTACCATGTCCAAAGTTCATGAGATGAAGTGTTACCAAACTTGCTTCTAGGTTACATAATGGCTGTAAGAACGATTTGTTCTTCTGGCAGTCCAAGACACATTCACTGTTCTTTACCGTCAACACAATTTGAATGCTTCAGTTCTTCTCCCATCTTCTTTGTTCATTATCCAGCTTTCTCATTCATAGGGTGCATTTGAAAAGGACCTGAATTGGGTCAGGTGTACTTTTGTCCTCAAAATGGCATCCGTGCTCATCAGCACTCTAAAGAAGTCTCCCGCAGCAGACTTGCCCAACGCAGTGTGTCATTTGATTTCCTGACTGCTGCTTCCAGTTGATGGTGGAGAAGCCAAGTAAAACTAAATCCTTGACAATGCCAGCCTTCTCTCCATTTAATGGGCTGTTGCTTACAGGTCGATCCAGCGGGAGGATCTTGATTCAATTTTAGGTGTAATCCATCGTGAAGGTTGTACCCTTCCTTCGTCATCAGTAGGTCTTTTGAGTCTTCTTCACGGTCGGCAAGCAAGGCTGTGTCATCGGCGAGGTTGTGAGTGAGACTCCCTCCAATCCCGGTGCCCTGCTGTTCTTCACACAGCCGGGGCCCTTGGGTGATTTGGTCATCATACAGATTGAATAAGTTTGGTGGAAGGATATAACAGTGATGCCTTTTTTATTTCAAACTATGCAGTATCCCCTTCTTTCCAAACCACTGTCTTTGGTTTGTGTACAGGCTACCCAGGAGTGCACATGAGTAAGTGTTCTGGAATCATCATTCTTAGTAATGTTAGCCATACTTTGCTACATAGTCAAATGCCTCACTATCAATACAAATGATGAGTAACAGTTTAGTGTAGTAATCTAAATGATGTCAAAGACAAAAAAGGCTGAGGAGTTTGGATAAAATGATCTCCATGGCTTTAAATGAGTTCTGCAGGTGTAAGTGCCACCAAAGACCAGATGTGGAGAGCAAGGCTTCGTGGAGGAAGCCGCCTGGAGCTAGCTCTTCTAGTCTAGGTATGGGCAGTCAAGGGCAAAGGCACGGGGCTTTCCATCTGGGTGTAATGACACTAAACAGAAATGCAGTGGTGCACCGAGAAAGACACATGCGGAACAACGAGTACACCAATTTAATTGTAGGCATAGTGTTTGGGGGGGAAATAGCAGCAAATTAAATTTATTCTTTAAAGATTTTTCAGAGATCAAAAAGCCAGTCTGCAAGTTTGAGGTTAATCCTGAAGCTGGAGGGCGTCTGAAGGATTCTGAGCAAGAGAGTGGCAAAAGCGAACCTTGTTTCCTCTGCTCCAGGTTTTCCTCAGCACCAGGAGGGGTGCTTGGATCCTGAATCGTGTCGGGGACCATGGATATCCTGCTGATGTATTGTTCTCTTCTCGGTTTAAACATTTTCTGAAGAATATGCTTAGTATGTCATTAGTAAACACAATTTTGGAAAAAAATATAAACCAAAGATTTGACCATGAACTGTTTGGCCTGAAGCCTAAACACAGGTACGTTCCTGGGTGGGAGCAGGGAGGTAATGGCCCAGGGACAAGAATAAGGACTGTTCATGTAGGTTACCAGTAGCGCTACCGCTACCCACCCAAAGCCAAAAACCCAACTCACTGCCAGCAAGCCCCTCCTCATTCAGAGCGACCTGACAGGACAGAGTAGAACTGCCCTCAGTGGATTACCAAGGCTGTAAATCTGTATCGGAGCAGAAAGCCTCATCTCTCTTCTGTGGAGGGGCTGCTGAGTTCAAACTGCTGACCTTGTGGTTTGCATTACAATACTCAACTCACTATGCCACCAGAGCTCTGTGCCTATACGTTAAGAAAATCCTCAGATCTACAATCAGATTTCCTGCCTTTTCTTCCACTGAAGTCCAACATCTACTGGCCTGTAGGTTTATAGTTTATGCTGCTCCTTGGCATTTCCCTCCTCCTCCCTTCCCCAGGCATCAGTTCTGCTTACAAGATGTCCATCAATGACACCAACCCAGTGGTAGTACAGTGCAGTGTGCAGCATGTGTTCATTCATCCTGCAAACAAACATTGAGCTTCCGTGATAAGCCAGGCATTCTCTTGGGCATGAGATCACAGGGATAAAAGACAATAGTAGTACTAATACCAATAATAAGACCTTATCTTTTAGGGATTTACTCTACGATAAGCACAGCATTAGATGAATTGCATGCATTATCTCATTTCATTTCCATTTCACAGAAGTCAAATAGATTGGCACTATTTGTGTCTTCATTTAACAAATATAGGCCTTGAAACTTAAAGAAGCTAAATAATTTGCCCAAGGTCACACAACTTATAAATGGCAGACTCAGCCCTTACATAGATTTGTATATTAACATTTTGCTATTTTTATTTCCTCTCTCCTTCTCTTAAGATAGTTAGATAAATATATACATGAATATATACATATAATCATTCAGACACTGTACCCAAAATATTTCACTATATATCACCTAACAAAAAGAATGTTAGGTATTCCCCTACAAAATCATAATATAAGGATCACATCTGGGAAATTTAACATTGATTAAATATCATTATAGATTATATTGTCCATATTTAAATTTCCCCCAGTTGCCCCAAAATTGTTCTGTATAGTTTCTTTTAAATCCAGAACCCTGCCAAACCTCACACCACTGTTTTTTGTTTTCCTGTCTCACACCACTGTTTTTTGTTTTCCTGTCTCTTGACTGGAACAGTACCTCAGCTGATTTTCTATGGTTGTTTGTTTGCTTTTCAACATGACTGTTTAGAAGAATCCCAAGCCAACTGTTTGGAGGAATGTCTTTCAGTTTGGACTTGCGTTGCTTCTCTGTGCTTATTTTCCAGCAAATATTTTTGACACAAATGCTACCCTGGTGACCTTGTGCCCTTCTCCATGGGTCACTTCAGGAGGTGCATGATGCCAGTCTGTCCCGTATGAGTGACACTAAATTTGACCACGTGGCTGAGGTGTTTCCCACCAATTTTCCCCACTGTAAACTATTATTCCCGGTGAACTTTACCAGTTGGGTGATACTTTATATTGGTCCGCCGGCAACCTCTTCTCCGAGTATTCCTGTCGGCCCCTTAGTTCTCTGATGGCTGAAAACGGTGTTGAGGCTTTATGGAGTAAAGGGAGATGGCCAGAAACCTAGGGCAGGGGAGTAGTATTACAAGCACAAGGTCTTCGAGTTGCCAAAATCATGCTCTTGGACCTGCATCTATTTAGGTGTGACGAGATTATATGGCATATATATGGCTGAAGAATAGATTTCCAGGTACATGAAAACCTTTGTATGTTATGCTAAGTATAAAATTTGGAGTGCATAAAAGTCATTGACATATTTTAATCAGGTGAGTGACTTAATAATAAGTACATTTCTAAAACAGTTTGAAAGTGGTCTAGAAGATAGATCAAAGAGGGTGGCCAGGAGGCTCTGAAGACAATTGTAATAATCCAGGTAAAAAACTCTGAGGGCCTAAAAGCTAAGGTGGAATTGATAGAAAATAGAGAAACCGATTCTGTGGATGCTAAGGGGAGAAAGAGAAAAGCTTTGGTGACCCAGTGGTAAAACTCACAGTTCTATGGCTTGAGCAAGTACATAGATGATGGTACTGGTAATGGGAAGAGGTAGAAACCATAAGGATGGGATTAAATTTTTAAATCTATACCTGAAGTTATTAGATTCAAAGTACAACCAAATGTTACAAACAAGTCAATTGTTGTTTAAACACAACCTGTTTCGCAGGCTAGGTCAGCTCTATTCAAATGGGATGGGCTGAGGATTCTGAGGGCCAGGGACCTTAGGAGCCAAGGGCTCAGACTGCTTTTTAGAAAGACACAAAATTATGAGAATCCCACTTTCCTTATGTTTGGTACCATTTCCCTATGCTGTACCAAGGGTATAGTACTTAATAGGCCTAAAGTAACGTAAGGAACTCATAGGAATTCATTCTGGAATAAATTCTGTGTAACCTTGGGCAAATCCCTTCACCTCTCAGCCTTCAGTCTCCACACCAACAGAGTCTGGATGATGGCCCGTCCGCCTCCTCCGTGGGCTATGTGAAAGTCAGATACGTCACTGTGCTGCAAAGGGATTATATACATGTAATTTATAATACAATATGGAAAATGATGGCCTAAGTTTAGCTGCAGGGGCTTTGCAATTGGAAATAAGATTGAACAGGATTCTAACAGGCAAGTTCAGCCTGGTAGATAGCTATATGGGCAGAAACTATTGACCTGTCGCTTTGTCATATAACAGAAACTATTACGATTCCCTTGAGAAATTGTTTATGCATTCCCCAAATAAGACACTGTTTTTTCTTCACCCTTCCAACATTCTTCCTTTCAATGGCAGCATCCCGGGTCCAACCTCTGCTCCGAGATCCTGACCTGTACCGAGCACGCATAAATTTGATCTTTCACAGATTTTCGGCATCAGCCACCCAGTTGATCTCTGGAACATTGCTTAGCGACCTCTGCCAAAGCAGGATTTTACTTACACAGTACTTTCTCTGGGCGGGAGGGAGGTTAGTTTGTTTTGGATCTCTCTTTTGATTGTTCTTCTTTCTCCATCTGTTTGTCTTTATCACGGCTTACAGAGCTCTGAGTCAACATCCAACGGTAAACGATGACTTGCCAAATCGCATAATTTCTGGATTGGTGAAGGTAAAAGGAAATGTGAAGGAATTCACAGAGACAGCTGCCATATTTGAAGATGGCTCCAGGGAGGATAACATTGATGCTGTTATTTTTGCCACAGGCTATAGTTTTGCCTTTCCTTTTCTTGATGATTCTGTCAAAGTTGTCAGAAACAAGATATCCCTATACAAAAAGGTCTTCCCTCCTAACCTGGAAAAGCCAACTCTTGCGATCATAGGCTTGATACAACCCTTGGGAGCCATTATGCCCATTTCAGAACTTCAAGGACGCTGGGCCACACAAGTGTTTAAAGGTGAGTGACCGTGCAAGCTGACCACCTGTTATTTGTTGGTGTGTTGAGTTCTGTTTATGCATTTGCTTTTAAATAGCTAGAAATGGTATATAGGAGCTCCTGACTCTTAAGTAGTGATTTGTAACCAAAGATATATACAACCTGGGAAATCTCTGATGATGTTTACTTAGTAAGTCTGCAATGGGATGGACATGGGATTTTTTTAGTTGGGGGGGGGGGTCCTCCTCAGACACATGCTTTTCAATGTACAATTCCAGATTAGATTGTGCCAAACCTGATTTTTTAAAACAAAAAACAAATGCCATCAAGTAGACTGATGTGCTCCATAGGATTGTCAATGACTGGTTTTTCAGATGTAGATCTGAAAAATCAACTTTCTTTCAAGGCACTTTTGAATAGGCTTGAACTTGGTACCCACCAGAGGTTTTTTATTTTAGCAGACAAATATATTTGTGAAGCAAAAGAACTTTTTCCATTACAGATAGAAAAATTAAAATAAAGAAATGATGTGACTTAATCTCAGATACATGGCTAGAGAGTAGTCCAGAATGTGGAAGACTAAACCTGTCAAATTCTCACTTCCCCTGCATAAATCCAGCCCCAGGGTCTTGGCTCTGCTCCTCGGTTCTATCTTGGTTTCCTGGCTTTGGCTTCTGGTCTCAGCCTGGCTCCTTTGCTCTGTCCCACGGTCTCCGTGCCAAAGCACCGGGTGCCTCTGGTCTTGGCCTCCACCACTTTAGATGGAGCTCTCAAACATGTCCCCTGCTGGGTCTTCCTCCAGTGGCCTGGCGTTCCTCTGTGCTTCCAAATGGCGCGTATACTCAGAGGAGCGGCTTTGATGGAGGTGCGGGTTTTGTCTTCAGCAGACCATTCCCCCAAGGAAACACAGGCTGGTGACGTGGTCCACACCCTCTCGTAAGGTGGCGACTCCGATTACATCCAGCCTTAATCTTGTCCATTAGCATAGCAGAGAACTCCCTCCAAAGTAGGCATGAACCAAAAACCAGAATTCACTGCCACGCAAGAGTGAATTCTGACTCATACGACCCTATAGGACAGGGCTGAACTGTCCCTGTGAGTTTCTGAGACTGTAACTCTTTTTTTTTTTTTTCCTTAGATCTTGAAATGTCCTTTT